CGTTAAAATTATATTTTTTGTCCAAAATCTTTTTGTGAAGTTGGACTATACTGAAATTGGAGATTATTGAATTTGGATAAATGATTAAATAATTACTATAAAAATAATAAATTTGACGACTTACCTGATATACAATATAAAAAAATATTCAAATAATTACAATAATTTTGTAATAAATCAAACGTGCACAATATCTTTAAACAAATTTATAGTAATATCGATCATAATTTTAAATATTCCAAGATTACAAAAAAAATTTATCGCAACTTTTAATATAATATTTTCTTCGTGTACGACGCGATAATCCGAAAATAGTCGTCTGTCTTCTAAGATATAGAGATAATTGTAAAAGGTTGTTATTTTATAAAGGTTGTTATTTTTATATGCCAAGTATAAGAATTGAAGATAAAATACTTCTGAAGAATTGAAGAAGTTAAAAATTGAATTCAATATACACGCAAAGTTATATGTAATAACATACCTGAAGATAGAAATAGGATATAACTTATAGAAAAAATTAGTTAATAAAGATTAGTTATTAGTAAGTTTTAAGTTAATATTTCAAATTGCGATAAATATTTATTAGCCTAAAACTCATTAGTCTTTCTAATTGTTTGCATTATATTTGGATTGTATATACATTATGATTGTTAATTATTTGACTAATTTGTTATTTTGACAACTTAAAATATGATGTTATATCATATTGTATTATATTATATTAAGACATAATGAATTAATTAGAAACGTTTGTGGTGTAATGATTATTAACAAATAAGTATACAAAGGCGAATGACGCGCAAAGTACGTCAATGTGCGTACGTATAATATTTGCGATATCATTTAGAGGAAAGGTTTAGCTTGAATGATAACAAAGTATACTTTGATATTTTATGTCTAATACACTTGTAGGCCGATATATTTGATCTAAAAAAGAAACTTTTTTTTTATATGAATCAAATTATGTAATCTACATAATTTTTAATCTACATAATATTTCTTTTATACTGAATTAAAAAATGCAAACGAATATTTTTTTATCACCGAGTATTTTCCAGCGACGTGATTTTGAAGTTTCAAGGAAATTGATTTTTTCTATACATACAGATATGACTTACTTAATTTAAAATTAAAAATGTAGAAGCTAGTGATTTCCTGTTGTATTTGGTTTGTGGTATATCTTCCGTAAAAATAAAAAATGCCATATTTGTTTTTATCATATATTGTAGTTAATTAGAGAAAAGTCGCGTAAAAGATTAACGTTAATCTTTTTTTTTATGAATTTTTATAGACAAATATATATTACTTAAATGCAGAAACTTCTTGCAGAAGATTTTTGATATTGACAGTACTTCAATACAGAAAGTAAAAATTAAATTAAATTGCGAATTGTGTGGAATATCTTATATAAAAGAGACTAAGGCTAAATATTCTATATTTCAGAATTTTGGAGTTGCAGCTTTTCAGGGCTGATTTTCCCAATCTCTTGGTAAACTAAATCATAGTTAAATAATAGTTAAATCATATATTTGTCCTTGTCTAACTTGAAGGAAAAATAAAGTGAAATTAACTGTATAATTTAACTGTTAGTTAATTTATACTAGTTTGGAAAAATCGGCCTATGAATAACTAATTATTGTGACTGACTGTACAAACATAATAGAAACCGTCTTCTTCTATGTGTTAATGCCCGCCACGATCATGTTAATCGTATATTTTGCTTTGTAATAACTAAAACACGCATATGTAGCAACCTGGCCATCTTTCCTCAGTACTGGGTTCAGTTGCCTAGTAGTATGAGATAAAGACGGCCACATATAAAATATATATCTTGATTTGTAGTAGTTTCGCTGTTTCTGTGAGAAGTCTTTTCCTGCCGATCTTTAATTATGAATCTGGTCTAATTTTATCTCGTTCGGCCATATGCTTAATTCCAATCATTTTATAAATAAAAATTGTTTTTATCCAATTGTTTTTATCCAGAACAGTACGCAACATACTTTACAAGAAACCTTATTCTAGTTAGTATAATACGTTGCTTAATATTATTTACTGACGATAGAAAATATTAATACAAAATTTCTCGAGATGGTTAGAAATTTATTTTGCTACTACAAAATCAGTTTTCCCTATTTTTAACTGTAATATTATTTTGATTTGAATAAAATTCAAGGAAAAAGTATTTATATTTTCTAAAAAAATTACTTCGCGATTTTGTTACTAGATAAATATTTCACTATTTGTCTCAAGATAAATATTTAAAAAAAGCAACATAGTCTTGAAGCCACGCATCTACATTCTTCTATAATATAAATCTCAGATGACCACCATAATATACAACTATGAGTGATGGGAAAATTGTGAATTCATTTTCAAGTACTACGTATACAAATATGTAAGAAACATATCAGAAGTTTCATGTAACGAATTACTTATGGACCAATGTTAATCTCTCTATTGTATAGTCGTTAATATTTTTTATTATTATGGAATTCTCTATGAAGTTTTGCGCTACTTCAAAGTTTAGTTGTAGATGTATATCCAGTCACATTTCAATGAGACATGTGCGAAGAAAATCTTATAAAATACGAATCACGCGTGTTGCGCACTGGCGTCAGAGGTATTTCTATCCGATATCTGGAAGCATTAAGTTCGTATAGATCGATAGAAATCGCATAGATTAGCATTTCAGGAAATAGTGTCTCCAGCTAAACTTTTAGCGTTGAAAACCGGTCGATTAAATCGTATCATATTATATTCCATAACTGTATGGACGTCAAGTTCGCTTATTTGCATCGCTTTATTTATATTTGCAGTAATATCAATTTATAGATGTACCGTATTACACGTATCATGGTCGATTTAAATTTCACTTTACAAAAACTCGTCGGCCAATTATCGAGATGCGAATTGTGATTAGCCATATAGTTTATACGATACAAATTAAATTGCTAATTAAGAAAATTATGAGAGACGGAAAGGACTCCTTTTCTTAACCAATATTTTTATATTTCTTGAAATAAAATATTTTTATTATTATATTTTTAACTTTTTAAATATTTTATAAAGTAAATATAAAAAAATATATTTCTTATATTTTATTTTATATAATATTTTATGATATATTTATATTTCATGACATATTTAAATCATGATATATTTATATTTTATAAAATATTTACAAATTTAATTTATATATTTATAAAATTACATGAATTGAGAGAAAATCATGTAAACGTTTTCTCAATTTATATTTTTGTTTTTTAAAATATATTTATACACACATAATTTTGCATATTTTATAAAGTTCATTTTTTTCTTAGAAAAATGTTTACAGATTTTATCTATATTTATGAAATAACGAAAAGAAGATAAACGAGGAGGAAGAAAGAAAGGCGCAAGACATTAGTTTGAAGAAAAATCCGTGGAAATCCCTACAGTTGTTATATTTGGAGTCTGAAGTCAGCTAGTAGTCGCGCGACGTGTACCGCTATTTCATGTCGCGCACTTGAATGCCATAGCCTCATTACATTTGGTTAAATTCTGTCGCAGTATTTGATCAGTTACAAATGTTTTTTTAATTTTCCCAAACTTCAGTTTTTATTTACTTATTGTACTATTTACTTATTGATTTATATATTTAGAGAGAGAGAGAGAGAGAGAGAGAGAGAGAGAGAGAGAGAG